ACTGCTAATTAAAAAACAACTGCAACAGCAATGTTTGTCTTTTTTTTAGGTTTCTTTTCTCTTTCCTCTCATCATCTTTCCATCATTATTTCCACCTTCTTGAATTCCTTGTCTGCCTTTTGTCCATACAGTCAAAAGATTTGTATGATAGCATGATGAAAAGATATAGAACACACATGTTGTTGGACATCTGTACATGTACACACACACACGGACAGGCAAGCGCAAAAAGTTTTGGTATAAAGACACAATGCAGCCGTGTAAATACGCACCGACACACAAATATATGTATACATGTTCATGTAAATGCACACACAGTCCTCAGCCCAGGCAGCTCAAACAACTGCTAACAATTATAACAATTAGTGGTTTGGCATTGCCAGCCAGCCACACTGCCTGTTTATAATGTGATGGAGCACAAATGTCATAACAGTGAAGCTTTGAGACAAACAAGATGCACTGTCAACATAATGCCCCGAGTCCAGAGCGCTCATAGCTGCAGGGACCACGTGGGAATCAGGTATATCATGAAACGGAGAAGTCTAAATCTTCTGTGAGTTAATTCCATGTATTTTCTTGTCTTCTCTTCCCCTTGATAGTTATGTCTGTCTGTGGCTGAAGTCTGAAGACAACAGATTATAGGAGACACCTCCACGGCTGTGTTTAATAGAATCTGATACACTACAGAGTCTTCTTGTCAGAGTTGGCATAATAGCAGTTATAACCGTTATAAGAAAACTGGCCCTGTTTACACAGATGCTAAGTTTAATTTTAACCTAAAAAATAGAGATACTGGTTCTGTCCAAAGATACCAGTTACAACAATCAGCATCTGGACAGATAACAGAACAAACTGAGTTCAGTGACCTCTGACCTTCCGTAGTAAAATGTTAACCAAGAAAGGATACAATGACTTGTAAATATAAATGATAAAAAATCAAGTAGGAAAAGAGAGTGAATAAATACAAGACCAAACAACACAGCACCAGAAAAGATCTGGAAAAAACAACCAAGAGACTTAAATCTAATGAAGGCACCAAAAATAGTTGGAAGAATTGTATGGGTGCCACCTCTCTTACACACTTCCTTGGTTGAATTTGAGCATTCAGATTAAAGGTATCTCCACTTTTTGGAATCATGGGACATGACAGAGATGAGCTGGTTGCTTGTGAAATTGATCCGGTCTCATCTCGCGCTGAAGAGGGTTGAGAAGCGGCTGCACCAGGACACAGCAGGAGAGTTTTAATGGCTGCTGATGGATTGAGCAGCTCTAACTGAATTACCCAGGGAGAAGAGCTTGAAAGTGACTAAAATAAGGTTAGTGGGCATGATTAGGAGCGTGTGTGTATGTACTTACGCCATAGGGACATTAACTTGTTTACACGGTCACATCATGGGGATATAACCTATTTTTTCTGGACAAAATGCAAAAGCTTTACATCCTTATATTTTCATGAGCAGTCCAGCTTTAAAGTCTGGTACATTTGCAGATTATTTTTATGAACAAACACACGATCTGTCTCTGATGGACAGTTTCCAGAGTTTATATTTTGCCTGTTAATTGAAAAAAAAAGTCCATATTTCAGGAAAAATTCCCTTTTGTAAAAAGAAAATAATGAATTATTGGTCTTCCAGATGTGTTCAGGTTGGTGCATTGAGCCATTATTCTTATGGCAACGTCTGGTCCAGGACTCCAGCTGATTAATGTCACATAATCTGTGCAAAACAATGTTAAATATTTTATTCAAAATGTACCAAATTATTTATTCAATTATGAATATTTGATATGCATCCGAATGTGTACAGCATGACAATCTAAGTCTGCAGTCCATTGGGCACTTCAACGTTCCCCTTGTGGAATATCTATGAGTTCATATTTACCTACATATATGGATGGAAAAAAAGTGTAGAAATTTCCAAAAAAGAATATGTTATCTTTCTACATAGCGTTGCTCTGTTATCTGGTCTGGTTTCAAAGTTCATATGTCTGTATCATAGCTTTGTTTGACTAGTTAACCAAGATTTTCTGAGTTCTGGTGAAATAGAAGACTGATGGATAGTGACTGGCTCTAACACAAGCAGATGTCAATTTGAAAGGTATATACATTTTATCACTTGGTTTGATTGTGATTTGTGTATCAATACGTAATCAGACATTCTTCTTTCTTATACCATCTCGATGAAGTGTGAGTTTAATCTCTTTTGCATCTTCATTAAACAGAAGCTGTGATGTCCTCGCTGGCTGAATCCGGACATCCCTGCTGTCACAACTGGGGAAGATCTCACTTTTATGTCAAAGAAGAGACTTTGAGGTAACAAATCAGGAACATGCCCCGCTCACACAGTTGATTGACAC